GATATGGCCCTTGTAGCCTCCTTTCCTCTGGCTGCGCATCTAAAAATTCATAACGTTACCAGAAAGGAGTCATATACAGAACTTTTACCATAGATTAGGTTAGTGATTTGGGCTACGAATATTTTACTAATTCATCCTCCTTGATCTCCAATTTACTTAACCCTTTCAGAGTCCGTCCGGTAGATCTAAGGCTTTACGTTCAGGGTCCAAACCGTAGATCTACGCCAAAATTCTAGCGCCGTCAAATTTAGCACGAGAAGGCTGGTAGGCCTACATCTAAGAGAATGGGTCTGGGTGGTCAGTGTGCACACCATAGAAAAAATCTGGACACCCACATGGCATTGTGGGAACGCCGGCAAAGTAGCTTTGTTCATAGTGCTTGGTGGCAAGGAAGCTCTCACTCCCCACTCACTCTCCGGGCGAATTCTGACTCTCCTCTTCACAACTTACAGTTCTAAGACTGATGGAAGTGGAGCTGAAGACGAATTCTATGCGTTTGAACCATATGGTACAATGGTGCCATATGGTAGAATGGTGCCATGTCATACAATGGTATCATATGGTACAATGGTACCATATGGTACAATGGTACCATATAGTACATTGTACCATATAGTACATTGTACCATATGGTACAGGGTGTGAAAATTTGTGTGGACTGCCTCCAAGTGAGTCACCTGCCCTGGCAAACTCTGTTGACACCGAGCTCTGAGGTGGGTACCTCAGCCTCACAAGTGGCTTATAGGACAGATTTTCACAAATGATTGATGTTGCAAGAAAACTCGCCTGCATGCACGTATAAAGGACTAACTTACTTGGTGTTGCAGCATATATCCTGATCTTCAACTTCCCTAAGCTTAGCCTTAGCCCCTTTGGACTTCCCCTCAGAAACCACATGCAACCGGGAGCCTTAATTCCTGCAATATTCAATCGTTATTAGTGTCCTGCCTGCACCTCAGAAATTCCTATATCCAAGAGAGTATGTATCCCCTAGTATAACTATGCAGACACGGACACTAGCTTCCAGACTGCCAAGAGACACTGGTACTTACTGGGCATGCACTGCCTGTTGCACACCGGGCCCACAGATCAAACTCACTCACAATCTCCCCAGACACTGGCCAGAAATCTACGAGATATAGTGGAGGTCTTGTCTTACTGTATGGGCCTGACGGAGGAGGTCATCTACGGTACATCGAGGTGCCTCTACCAGATTTCCCCAGGTCTCAAATGTGAAGACACGTGGGGGGGCGCCATCTGCTGATCACGGCACGTCTTGTCCAGTTGGTGTCTGTCTTAAGAAGGACGCTATTGTGTCTTTGAGACCCGCGCCTCGTCATTCAAGCTAGGGCTGCCAGTTCTCCCTAGCTAGCTTAACCTAGTGTTTGCCTACATTATCGGCCTATTACTACCTATGTTAAGGTCTTAGGTCTACATTATTATTATCTACAGTTGCCTTAGTAAACCTAATATTAGTGTACTAACAGTAAAACTACCTACTCCTTCCCTGAAGGGTAAATCTATAAATTAAATAGATGCCTACCAACAATCCACGCCAAAATAGAGAGAATGCTGTTTGTTTGGGAGGGTTTAAGGGCCAGCCAGCTCAGCCGTCCCATTATGGCCATGCTGGATCTGTCCTGTGGAACTTTAGGGACCAAAATAAATTCTGTTCTTGAATTTTCTTCTTTCTTTTCTGTGACCCACTCGCATAAGAACGTCCAGCATCACGTTCACGAGATGCCATAATGAGGATGTATCACTGTCTGTAATCATGCAAATACAAATTTTTCATTATCAATTATTATTAATTTTTTAATTATTATTAAATTTTTTTTTCTGTCAATTGGGGGGATATGGCCCTTGTAGCCCCCCTTTCCTCTGGCTGTGCATCTAAAAATTCAAAACGTTACCAGAAAGGAGTCATATACAGAACTTTTACCATAGATTAGGTTAGTGATTTGGGCTACGAATATTTTACTAATTCATCCTCCTTGATCTCCAATTTACTTAAACAGAAATCATACCGAGTCCAAGAACAATGCACAATGGTATTTATATTACCATTTTCATAACTAAACTAATCATTATGTTTTGCATGATATATGGCCTACCACCATAGATAAGGGCATGAGAATTAAAGAATGCAGGGACAATTTTCAGTTTCACCCAACCAACGACTTTCTGATATGGCTTATGTGTTTCTGGGGAAATATGTAGTAAATTAATTGATGTTCTACATCACTTCCGTTGCAACTTGAAAACTAAGCATTTGCGACGGAAGTGATGTAGAACATCAATCAATTGAGATCTGTTATTAAAATGACAAAGACTTAAAGACAGGGCAAAGTGCTTTTAAAACCTACAAACGGAAGTCAGTTTGCATTTTTAGGTTTTTCTTTATAGTATTTTTACCAAAAATGCGTCTTTACTGGTCCATGTGTCTTTACTGGTCAAGTAACCCTATCAGGTACCTCCCTTTACATTTAGAGGCGAAAACAAACATTTATCCATACACATCAATGTCTATCAACAACACTTCAGTTAATTTGTCACAGTACAAGTCTAGATAACGTGTAATTACTACAGAAAATTGGAGAGGAATCTCCCATACTCGCCCATTAGCGGGAAAACACAGCTGTTCTGATGTAAACAAAGGCGTGTTGAGTGTTGCCATCTATGGTTAGGTTTATTTATTTTTATTTTATTTCATTATTTATTTTTGTTTTGATTAATTTTTAAAAATCAATTTTACTCTCCAAACACTTGAACTTTTTAGGTAGGGACCCCTTTGCACTTGCACCATGTGCGCAGTCTTGGATGAGCCCCTGAACCCCTTGGACTGCGGGGCCCCCAAATGCGCGGGGCCCTAGGCAAATGCCTAGTTTGCCTATGCGGTAATCCGGCCCTGGCTACATCATACCTTGTATATTTATTTATCCTCTTTTTCATAAAATATGTATTACTTATTACCAAATCTCTTTCTACACATAGCTCAATTAAAGGCTCCCCATTTACATTTACCCCTGGCACCCCAAATTTACCTACTACTCCCTCCATAACATTTTTACCCACTTAAGCATTGAAATCCCCAACCACCATTACTCTCACACTTGATTCAAAACTCCCTACGCATTCACTCAACATTTCCCAAAATCTCTCTCTCTCCTCTACACTTCTCTCTTCTCCAGGTGCTTACATGTACATGCATGTACAAGCATATATATACACACCTCTAGGTTTTCTTCTATTTTTCTTACTAGTTCTTCTCCTTGTTTATTTCCTCTTATCTCCATGAGGGAAGTGGAACAGAATTCTTCCTTCATAAGCCATACGTGTTGAGAGGCGACTAAAATGCTGGGAACGAGGCTAGTAACCCCTTCTCCTGTATATACATATTACTAAGGTTAAAAAGAAACTAGTTTCATTTTTTTAGGCCACTGTGCCTTGGTGGGATATGGCCGGTGTGTTGAAAGAAAGAAGTACTGTAAGGTTTAGAGTAGTTCAAAAATTAAGACAGATTTCTAGATGTATAATTTCCATATTACATTGTAAATGTACAAGCTTTATTGAGATGACTGTGTGATCCTTGTGGGTTTAGTGCTAAGCTATGATTATTATTATTTGATGAAATGATCCTTCAAGAGGAGTGCCTTCATATTACTGAAGGGCTCTTGATCTGAGGATTTTCAGGCTCTTTCCCTTCCATAATAGACCATTTTATTTATTTTTATTTTATTTTTATTTTATTAATATTTTATTAATATTTCATGTGGTAAAATTTTTTTTTTTCATACTTTGGGGTGACTTGCACGGATTAATTTGATTTCCATTATTTCTCATGGGGAAAATTCACTCGCATAACGATAATATAATTTCGCATAACAATGAGCTCTCAGGAACAGATTAATATCATTATGCGGGGGTCCACTGTACTGTATCTCATTTTTCTTGGAATTCCTAACTTAGAAGTGTGGACAAGCCATACTTTTTGGGTAGATACCACCCCTTTCCCACCATGGAACTGAAGTCAGGTGGATGATATATAGTTATTAATTTGTCAAACAAGTTTGTGTGAAGTTTAAAGTAGAATGTTACTACCATAATTATCTGATTCACATCTAATCAAAATAATGGAGATGAAACTAGGCAATGTTTCATTAGTTTGTAGGTTAGCTGTGAATTGTTCTAGCTATGATATATGATATTGTGACTTAATTATCTGACTGTATGATGCCTCAACATCAGTCACTAGTTAGCTTCCTCTTCTTAGCCTCTGGTATTTCTTCAGGTATACTAGTTGCTTTTTCATGACTCAAGTTGGACAAATCCCTTATACCAGCCACCGTCACCTGACAAAGAAATAACACGGTCAAGTTGGAATGTTGCAGAGCTTCCTCTGATTATTTCAGTGCTGAAAATGTCACTCATACACTTAAAATATTTATACAGCTGAAATCTGTCCAACTTTTTCTGGTTATATGTAGCCATAATTAGTAAATAAAACCTTCATATTCCATACAAAACAAGACATGAATGAAATCACTTTTCCCCCTTCTAAACACCATATGTGCACTTATAACCTGCACATAGGAGAGAGAGGAGCTTACAACGACGTTTCGGTCCGACTTGGACCAATTGCAAAGTGTGACTTTGTAAATGGTCCAAGTTGGACTGAAACATCATCATAAGCTCCTCTCTCTTATGTGGGGGCTATTTGTGTATCGTTCCAGTCATGGTATTGTGCCTTTTTGTTCTTTCTTCTCCCCCTCTAAATTTTGTTTAAAATGGTTAAAATTATGTAAATACCTGATAACTGACAGATGAATTATTCCGATGTGGTGCCTTAGTGAGTGTAGCAACCCTTGTTCTCCCAGACCAGTGAAGAGTAAGTCGTAATGTTGGGCAATGACCCCAGGTTTCCCCCAATGCTGCTACCAACTGTGATGAACCTGCACTCTCTATCCTAGTTGTCATCTGATTGGTAACTATTACCTATGAATGAAATTAAGAAAAACTCGGTTTCAAATTTTATTATGAAGTATTAGAAGGCCAATATTCATTAATTCAGTGACATCTGATATCAGATTTCTAGAATAACAATGAGTCATTAACCCTCTTTCCATAAGACATTTCTTCTCAACATTTTTGTGATACAATGTTGATTTCTTAACAAACAATCTTTAACTACCGATTTTTCTTTTTTTTTGAACAAGTCAGCCATCTCCTACCGAGGCAGGGCAACCCAAAAAGAAAGAAAACCCCCAAAAAGAAAATATTCTCATCATCATTCAACACTTTTACTTCACTCATACATAATCACTGTCTTTGCAGAGGTGCCCAGATACAACAGTTTGGTGTGAATATAATGCAGAGAATTCATAGTATGGAAGTTAGGAGGAGGTGCAGGATTACCAAAACTGTTGTCCAGAGGGCTGAGGAAGGGTTGTTGAGGTGGTTCGGATGTGTAGAGAGAATGGAACGAAACAGAATGACTTAGAGTGTATAAATCTGTAGTGGAGGGAAGGTGGGGTAGGGGTCAGCCTAGGAAAGGTTGGAGGGAGGGGGTCAAGGAGGTTTTGTGTGTGAGGGGCTTGGACTTCCAGCAAGCATGTGTGAGCATATTTGATAGGAGAGAATGGAGACAAATGGTTTTTAATACTTGACATGCTGTTGGAGTGTGAGCAAAGTAACATTTATGAAGGGATTCAGGGAAACCGGCAGGCCAGACTTGAGTCCTGGAGATGGGAAGTACAGTGTCTGCACTCTGAAGGAGGGGTGTTAATGTTGCAGTTTTATAAACTTTAGTGTAAAGCACCCCTCTGGGAAGACAGTGATGGAATGAATGAAGATGAAAGTTTTTCTTTTTCGGGCCACCCTGCCTTGGTGGGAATTGGCTGATGTGTTAATAATAAAAATAATAATAATTATAGTATAACATATCCCTCCAAACTGCCAATATCCCAAACCCCTCCTTTAAAGTGCAGGCATTGTACTTCCCATTTCCAGTACTCAATTCTGGCTATATAAAAATAACCAGTTTCCTTGTATCCCTTCACTGAATATTACCTTGCTCACATTCCAACAGCTCGTCAGGTCCCAAAAACCATTCGCCTCCATTCACTCCTATCTAACATGATCCCGCAAGCTTGCTGGAAGCCCAAGCCCCTTGTCCACAAAACCTCCCTACCCCCTCCCTCCAACCTTTTCAAGGACAACCCCTACACCGCTTTCCTTCCCCTACAGATTTATACGCTCTCCATGTCATTCTACTGTACTTTCATCCATTCTCTCTAAATGACTAAACCACCTCAAAAACCCCTCTTCAGCCCTCTGACTGATACTTTTATTAACTCCACACCTGCTCCTAATTTCCACACTTCGAATTCTCTGCATAATATTTACAGCACACGTTGCCCTTAGACAGGACATTTCCACTGCCTCCAACCACCTCCTCGCTGCAGCATTTACAGCCCAAGCTTCATACCCATATAAGAGTGTTGGTACCACTATACAGTACTTTCATACATTCCCTTCTTTGCCTCCATAGATAATGTTTTTTAGTCTCCACATATACTTAAATGCACCACTCACCTTTTTTTCTTCATCAATTCTATGGTTAACCTCATCCTTCATAAACCCATCTGCTGACACATCAACTCCCAAATATCTGAAAACATTCACTTCTTCCATACTCCCTCTCTCCAATGTGATATCCAATTTTTCTTCATCTAAATCATTTGATACCCTCATCACCTTACTCTTATCCATGTTCACTTTCAACTTTCTACCTTTACACACCCTCCCAAACTCGTCCACTAACTTTTGTAATTTTCTTTAGAATCTCCCATAAGCACAGTATCATCAGCAAAAAGTAACTGTGTCAACTCCCATTTTGTACTTGATTCCCCATAATTTAATCCCACCCCACCTCCCCAACACCCTAGCATTTACCTCCTTCACAACCCCATCTATTAATATATTAAACAACCATGGTGATATTACACATCAATGTTTAAGATTTTTACTGGGAAGTAGTCTCCCTCTCTCCTACACACCCTAACCTGAGCCTCACTATTCTCATAAAAACTCTTTACACCATTTAGCAACTTACTACCTATTCCATACAACTGCAACATCTGCCACATTGCTCCCCTATCTGCTCTATCACATGCCTTTCTAAATCCATAAATGCAATAAAAACTTCCCTATGTTCTAAATACTGTTCACATATATGCTTCAATGTAAACACTTGATCTACACAACCCCTACCCACTCTAAAGCCTCCTTGCTCATCTGCAATCCTACTCTCTGTCTTACCTCTAATTCTCTCAATAATAACCCTATCGTACACTTTTCCTGGTATACTGTACTTAGTAAACTTATTCCCCTATAATTTTTACAGCCCCTTTTATCCCCCTTCCCTTTATATAAAAGAACTATACATGCTGCCAATCCCTAGGTACCTTCCCCTCTGTCATACATTTATTAAACAAAAATACCAACCACTCCAATACTATATCCCCACTGCTTTTAACATTTCTGTCATGATCCTGACAGTTCCAGCTGCTTGACCCCCTTTCATTCAACGTAATGCATCATGCACCTCCCCCACACTACATCCTGCTCTTCTTCGCTCCTAAAAAATATTATACCTCCCTTTCTTCATTGACATTTAACCCTAAACCTGTCCAAACATAGATCTACATTTGCACGCGTAGCACTCCGACCTTGATTTTCTCCATGAGAAACAATGTAAAAAAAAATGTAGATCTACGTTCAGAGCACTACGCGAGCAAACGTAGATCTACGTTTGGACAGTTTAAGGGTTAAAAGTTCCTCAAAATATTCCCGCCATCTACCCAGTACCTCCAGCTCCCCATCTACTAACTCCCCTACTCTGTTTTTCATCAACAAATCCATTCGTTCCCTTAACTTATTTATCTCACTTCAAAATTTTTTCTTATTTTCTGCAAAATTTCTTGACAGTGCCTCTCCAACTCTATCTCTGCTCTCCTTTTGCACTCTCTCACCACTCTCTTCACCTTTCTTTTACTCTCCATATACTCTGCTCTTCTTATAACACTTCTGCTTTGTAAAAATCTCTCATAAGCTATCTTTTTCTCTTTTATCACACCCTTTACTTCATCATTCCCCCAATCACTCCTCTTTCCTCCTGCACCCACCCTCCTGTAACCACAAACTTCTGTCCCACATTCTAATACTCCATTTTTAAAACTACAGTGGTACCTCAGGATATGAGCTTAATTCGTTCCAGAAGGCTGTTCGAGTGCTGATACCGAACGAATCTGTTCTCATAAGGAATAATGTAATTTAGATTAATCCGTTTCAGACCCCCAAAAATACACTTACGAAAGCACTTACATAAATACATTTACATAATTGTTCGAGCTTTGAGCTGTTCGTATCCCGAAGTACCACTGTATTCCAATCCTCTTCAACCCCTCCCCCCCTACTCATATTTGTACTAGCCCACCTTTCTGCCAATACAGGTCTTCCTCAACATTCGTGAGGGTTAGGGGCTCAAGAGCCTCGCGAATGCTTGGTGCCCCAATATATTGTATGGAAATTTAATACAATACTCTTCCTTAACCTATTGAACCATGTACAACCATAAAACACAAGAAAACATCTAAAATATGTATTGTATATACATACATGCTCCTCCCACTCATATATTTGTCCAATCTCTTTTTAAAGCTACCCAAGGTCCAATCGAAGCAAAAACTTTGGGTAGTTTCAAATTTAAGTTGGATAAATACATGAGTGAGAGGGGTTGGATTTGAGTGGGACTTGCACGTGAGTAAACAGAATTATCAAAGCTTATTGCTTGGGTAGTGTTTATTCTGTTAGTGGGTTGGATTTGTGAAGGACATGCCAAGTATAGGCCAACAGGCCTACTGCAGTGTCCCTCCTTTCTTATGCTGATGAGTTGAACAGTCTGTCTAGTATGGTTATAAGAACATATGAACATAAGAAAGGAGGAACACTGCAATAGGCCTGCAGGCCCATACTAGGCAGGTCCTTCAAAATCCATCACTAATTAACCCTTAAAGGTCCAAATGTATATATACGTTCACTCGCACAGCGCCCCAAATATTTTGAAGAAAAAAATCTTTTTTTTTATAGAAAAAAGAGCACATTTTTTTTAAGTATTTTAGAATAAAAAAAAAATTTTTAGGGTCAGTACTTACCGAGATGTGAGGCCAGAGAAGTTGGCACTGGATGCTCATGTGACGGCAACATGGAGTCCTGCTGCTTGCAGAAGTGTTGCTGATATACCCTTTTTTCTATTTTTCATATTATTTTATGTAATTTTTATGTATTGATAATTGCAATTTGTAGTAGGTCTTGTCATTTTATAACCAATCTGTGTTCTGACACTAGTATTAGGTACTGAAATTGTCACAAACACACTGACAGGTGGACATTTACACCTGCCTTGGTCATTTACTATTGTCTTGGAATATAAACAAAGTACAGTGGACCCCCGCTTAACGATCTCCTCCAAATGCGACCAATTATGTAATTGTATTTATTTAAGTGCGTTTGTACGTGTATGTTTGGGGGTCTGAAATGGACTAATCTACTTCACAATATTCCTTATGGGAAAAAATTCGGTCAGTACTGGCACCTGAACATACTACTGGAATGAAAAAAGTTCGTTAACCGGGGGTCCACTGTATTTATAGGCCCCAGCAATGTTTTGGATATTTGGATGTAGAGGAGGAGGACGATGACGATGATATGTTCCCTTGTAGCATGAAAAACAAAGTCCACCCCTGACAGTGACATAAGGGGAGATAACATCTGATAAGAGCTGATGTTTGATGAGCATACACGAGGGTGGGGGAGGGTGCAGCTGATAAGAAAAGATTAGATGACCCTCCCCCTTGCTTTGCTTTTGTTGGTACACAAACATTTCTGTCTGTCTATTTGTCTGTCTGTCAAGCTCCCTGCCTATCTGTCTATCC